AGCTGCTGTAATAGTAATATTCGTTCTTGTCATCTTCTGCCAGTGGTTTGCTTCCAGCACTGTGTTCACACTTACTGACCTGATTCAACTCTGGCAGTTCTTATGATCACGCTTATTTCCTTCGCTTGACTGTCTTAATTCGCATTTTGTCTTAGTCACCACTTGAATTGATGCTTTCCCTGACTGCTTTGTCTTGATCGCGATCTCAATGGTATACATCCGACTTGAACAGTTTTAGGAGTGCTTGAATTATTCACTTACCTATCAACTGTGTGGAACTTGGGAGCCTTAAAGACATGCTTGGATGTCTTGGTGGCATGGTATGAATATACATGATTTTCACCGCTTTATTGTCTGAATTCTACACTTACTATTGACTCTGTAACCTTGGGAGCCTTAAAGACACAATATATACTTGGACCTGTGTGGCTCCTTAGAGCTGAATCCCTCTACTACTGGTCTGCTTATTTTGACTTAGCTTACAATGTGTCTTGAGAGAATCTGACATGAATGAGTGATACTTGAAGTCACTGCTTAACTGTGTACTTATGTCAAGTCGCTGATAAGTGTAACAATAAGTCAAATTCATTGGAAGACCCTACTTTTTTTAAGCAATGGCATACTTAGCAGAATTCTACTGAATCTTACTTAGAATCACCTTCAAGTCACCATAAGTGTTGTTAAGAAAATTTCCTTTTTTCCTGATGCAGGCCGGAACATCACTAGTTCAGACACATCCACTACTTACCACTCTCGTATCCTCAAAAGACCATGGTTACTTATGACCTGCTACGGCAGATGCCTTTCACTAGACGATGCCGTAATTTAAGGTTACTGGGTGCGGTGGCATGTCCTGTTCAACTTAGAGGGCCGGTCTCACGAGGTGTAAGCCCGTTGGCTTACCTGAGTTCCAATAATCAGCATAAATACTGTCCGCGATAATGAAGTGTGAGCTAAATTTCATTATCACTGCCTTTTGGCGTAACCGTCAAGGAACGACAGTCTTGACCTACTTACAGTGAGCAACTTAAACCCTTTTGCTACATTTTTGAGCGAATACAGTCCTTAACAAATGTCTTCTTCCTGGGTTCAGAATTCCTCTATCTCCTTGATAAGGCGAACGAACATGTCTTGGCTTCGACTAGAACCCCGGGCCCTGCCCATGCTCTACACTCATATTCTCGCTGTAGGGATCCTGAGTATTATTTTTCTGGTTGCTGCTTTGCGTCTAACTCGCAGACGTGTCTACCCTTTACCTCTGCCGCCTGGCCCTCGTCACTTACCATTTTTGGGTAATGCTCTCCAATTGGACACAGAACGGCCTTGGCTCACCTATACTATGTGGGGAAAGATGTATGGTCGGTAGACCGATAACCGCTTCGTCAAATGCTTCGATTTCATTTCATACTTGATCATAGGAAATATTATTCATTCCCGGGTTCTTGGGATCGACTTCATCATCATCAACTCCGAATCGATTGCGCGAGAGTTGTTGGACAAGCGTTCTGCGATCTATTCGGATCGCCCTGTCATTCCCACCAATGAATTGTATGTCTTGCTGGTCATCGTTCAGCCAGTTTTTGATCAGCTGACGAGGCAGAGCTGGGCTGGATTTCAACACTGTGCTCCTTCCGTATGGCGAGACTTGGCGACGACATCGCAAGATCTTCCATCAAGTCCTCAGGGCCGAAGCCTCTGTCTCATACCGCGAGATGTACTCTCGCCACGCCAATGAACTAGTCATCAATCTTTTGAATACTAGTGACTTGCATAAACACACTCAAGCGTTGGTGCCCAATTCATTGGTTTTGTGACGTCTGGTCCAGTTAACGCCAAAAACTGTGACAGATATGCGGCATCCCTGATCATGACCGTGACATACGGACACACTGCTCACGGAAACGAAGACCCATTTCTTGCCCGCGCGAGTGAACTCGCTGATATTGGCAAACGTGTTATTTCTCCCGAGAAAGCTGTCATGTTCACAGCCTTTCCTTTTCGTAAGTGCGCCGATGCTGTCGATGACGTCGATTTGAACCTTCAGCACGTCGGTTGCAGTCGAAAAGCTGCCAAATTGGTGCTTTGGTGGAGCCTTTGCATCAATGGGACGAACTAGAGAATTATCTCAGCAGCTTTTGAACGAGCCCTTTAACGAGGTGAAGGCACAGATGGTACGTTTGCGCATTGAGGATGGACGTTTTGCCTGATCTGCTTGCCTGTAGGCGAATGGTACTGCGTCGCATTCATTGGTCGCCGACTTCCTCAGTCAAGCTGACGACAACGCTGACGAAGACACGATGAAGGCAGTTGCGTTGACGGCGTACACAGGTAAGAGTTTTTTTCAGCAGGACGGGACTCATCATTTGACGCGGATACCGCATCTCAGCCGGTATAGACACAGTGAGGCATTACTTTGAGAGTGCCAATCATCGCTTCCCCCTCACCTTGATGTCCCACAGACTATGTCCACATTGCAGACATTCCTGTTGGCTATGGTACTCTATCCTGACGTCCAAGCCCAGGCTCGAGCAGAAATAAATCAAGTCGTGAGGCATGATAAAATGCCATGCCTTGATGATAGGGCTTCACTACCCTACCTTGATGCCATTCTCCGTGAGATCCTGAGATGGTATCCTATCGTCCCTCTAGGTCGACCTGCAGTAATATAACCTTGCGTTTGCATGGCTGACCCCTTTCACAGGAGCACCACATGCGGCATTAAATGATGATAATTACGGCGGGTACTTTATACCCAAAGGTTTGAAGTCGTATGTGTCAAGGTTGCCGTTGACTTACCATCAGTTCGATTAGGTGCGATGGTAACGGTTAACCAGTGGTATGATGCGGTGCAGTGCATCCAATTGCTTGAGCTGAGCATGACTCAGGGCACTGTCTCGGGACGAAGACTTGTTTCCAGATGCATCGCGCTTCGATCCTAGTCGCCATCTGACAGCTGGTGGGCAGCTGAAGGATTATTTCGTCAATCATTCTGCCTTTGGTCATGGCAGGTAAATAACCCACACTTACTATCATTTTGAGTTGTTCACTGACTCATACAGGCGCATTTGTCCTGGTAGGCTAATGGTTCATCTGGCAATATTGGGAATTACATATACCCTTGGCAGGTCGTTGGTTTGCGGAGAACGGTCTGTGGACAGCGACTGCTGCCATACTCGCTGTCTTGCGCATCGATCATGCTAAGGACTCTAACGGAGACAGGATTGAGGTGAAACCGGAATTTACCACAGGCGTGGTGATGTAAGTGACTTAGAATGTATGCTCGAAATTTGCGGCTAACTTTGAGTCTGAAGTCGACCGAAACCTTTTCGGTGCTCGTTTGAGAGCGTGAATACAGCGAGAGAAGAGCAGCTTCGAGCGATGATGAATTTGAAGTAGACACTTGGTGGTGTATTTTCGATATCTATTACGACATATTCCTGGACCCGATTAGGGTACCAGGTATAACGAATAGTTTCTCTGTGACCAGTCCCGTGCCGGGTCGCTTTTCATGTTTGTCGTTATTATTTATTTTCGTTGTGCCACTTGTCTTTTCTCCTATTTTCCCGCTCCACTTTGCTCATCCTTTCCTTGGACCGCTCTTCCCTTGTACCTCCGGTATCGCTCGTTGTTTCTGATCTCCAGCTCGTCGATGATGGAGTATCTGTTGTGTCCACCTGTCTTCTGTGCAGGCTTTTTGAGTGTTGTGGAGTATCACAGGTGCGGTTTACCGCTGCTCAGCAGTTTCCTGTTGGAGTCTTGCTCTTAGTATCTGCTCCCACCGTTCGTCATGTTATTGATCATTTCCCAAGGCTCACGTGTGATAATTTTATCGAGATGTATTGCCTTCACTCCATTCGGGTTGCCACGTCGGATTCTCGTGGTTATATCTGGGATTAGAGTTTAAAAGAAAAAGACCGCAGTCGGACCGGGACCGGACTTTTTTTGAACCGGACCGCGGTTGCGGTCTTGTCACCAACAAAACTTCAGGGGTTGCGGTTGCCTCATTATACCAAAGAAAAAAAGACCGACTTTAAACCGACTGCAACCGGTCTTTTTAAAACCGGTTGCCTACAGGCAGGGCACACTTGTATATACACTGTATAGCTAAAACATGACATAAAACTCAGTCTATGACTACATCAACCTCATTGCAATCATCTTCAGACATTGCGGCATCGAGTTGAAGCAATTCAACATACTCATCAAGTAAAACTTCCTCAGTGACAGCCGAATTTGTAGCAATGCAATCAATGACTGAACTTCGCTACCAAAATTTAAGGATTTGAAGTTGTTCAAACCGCTCGGCACCTAGTCAGGAGCGCCTGTCAGTCGCAGTCTGCCTGCTACCTGAGAATATGTGTTTGCAAGGCACCGAAGATGCAGGGACAGTGCAGATATCCATTGCGATGCAGGCAAGAACAGGGTAGATAGTGGCATTCTTCTGAATTAAATTATTGTTATGTTAGTATGACACATGACAGATTGTAATTGATACATACTGACCACCACTCGATGATATTCGTATCCTTCGAGACATTGTCAGGCATGTCAGCGAGATAACGGCGAAGTTCGGCACGCCAGCCTGAATGATATTGGTCGCTGGCCTTCTCCACCAGCTCACAACGATGACGGTCATATTCTGATTCAATGCTAGCAGTGTTACAAGAGATGCCGCCAGTGGAAGAACCCAGAGACACTGATGGAGTTGTTGGTTTCGCACGTTGGGAATATTCTTGCATGGTTGCCTTGATGACTTGTAGGGCCTCATCGTACCAATCAATAGTGTTTGGATTTCCGGCAGCACGCTCCTTCGCCTGCTCTTCAGGCCTGCCCCACTGCATCTTGATGTATGTCAGCTTGTAATATGGGTGGAGAACTAAATATGGTGTCAGCAATACTATGTAGACGTGCAAGTAAATATCATTTACCGAGCGCAAGAACATACACAGGCTTGTCGTCAAACTTCCGGTAGTATTTTCCGATCTTGTCGAGGCCAGCCTGGATGGCATCCTTGTAGATCTCATACTTCGGTAAATCGCGTTTCATCTCCCATGCGGTCTGGAGTTCCTCAATTGCTGGAATGGCGCGCCACAGTGTTGGCTGTGTTTCTGATGAAAAATATTGTTGAATGTTATTAGCGTCCTATAAAACAATAGTCAGTATATGAGAGAAATAAGAAAATGATGACTTACAGCAATGATTTCGCGTGCGTCATTTACGCACTCCCAATCCACATTCTTGAATGTAAATGCTGTCCATGGGATGTTCTTGACCAGTTTCCTGTTGCGCCAAATGACTGTGACTGGCCCAAAGAGCTCATCCGCTGTGCTGATGAATATGTTGATGACCTGTGTGATGTAATTTGGTAAGCATCGACAATGAATAGTGTAAACATACCTGTTGTAGTGCATATGCACGCCCGAGCATTCCATCCACAGTGCCCCACCTGACATTGCTGTGTAATGGAATCTTGAGGGTATTCTCCAGGCTGCAGTTCTTTTGAAGTGTCTCAAAATAGTCTATCCGCTGTCCAGAACACTGAATCTGTGTAGTATATGTATATTAGTAGAATGAACGGACATAAAAAAACCAAACAAACCTTGATAGCAATGGTGCGCACTGCGGCAACAACATCTAATGAGTTGCCAAGGACATGATTGTTGCGATCATTGGGGTCGAATTCCCATATCGCCTGTGCTGGTTCTGACGTTAGCAATTCGCTGTGATTACTGACATGATAGCAACAACGCCAAGGTTAACAACATGTGCGAGACAAGGGAGACGATGTTGGAGTGTGTCAAATGAATATATCCATCAGCGATGGAAGATGCTCTCGATCTTTGCACATGCTGTGTCATTATTGGAAGTATTGTCTGCAGTGACACAAAAAAGCTGCAGAGTGGTTGAGTTGACATATATATGCATGAGTTAGAACTTGTGTACCTTCGATGACTGACCAGACACAATCCCTGCACGTTCACACAGTCCAACAAAGTAGTGTCCTAAGTTTTCTCCACTATGAGCACCTGATATACCTTTGAATGCAACCACCTGTGACCACAGTGTCCATGTACCAGTCTTCATATCAGCGTGTATCCAGTGTGCAGTGAGACCAAAAAAGGCAGCCTTTGTCTGCTCAACAGACCAGAGGTCTGTTGTTGTTGAGATGCAACCGCTATTTGAAGACTATGAGGCGAATAGATTTAGTTAGTGTAGCTTGTTAAATTAAACATGACTTACTTGGATTTCAGACTTGATTTGCGTGAAGAAATCAAGGAAGGAGTTATGAATGAACACTGTAATATCATGTGTTGAGGGAATATTGGCCTTAGTTGCAGAAGGACGCATTGCAACAAGACAGTTTCTAAATGTGGCTTTGTTTACTACAGCCAGTGACTTTGCAACTTTGGAATCAGTGCAATCTAGTTACCAACCATCAATCATCAACACTCACCTGATTATCACAGATGACAAACTCTGCAACTGTACGGAGCACATCAGTTCCTTGAGAAATTGGGCAAATCTGTTTTCTTCTGGAACATCTTTGTGAGGTGCTTCTGACCACTTTTATTCGCCTGTTCCTGTTCTTGCACCAATGAATGTGGAACTGCATAATGGTGCTCACACAGTCCCATCTCCGTGCATTTCTTCTGGTACACCCATAATGGCTGCGAATATGTTGATGGCAGCTCGAATTACTCCCAACATGAAAAGTCTTTCAGTTTTCCATGTGCGGCAACAAATTTTGGATTCGCTCTTGATCATTGTATCTCAGGTAAGTATTTAAAAAGATTCTTGAATGCTATCACTTACTTGCATATATTGCACCAGCACCCTCTCTTCTGCTCTACCCCGCCATCTGAATTGATGAACTTTACTGGTACACTTCTCTGAAAATACTGTGAGTAGGTCCTCCAGCATATTTGTTTTTGGGTTTCAGTGCCTTCAGGCAGTGCGGCCGTGCATCATGCCTATCTTCAGGACCATCATCACTGTCCTGTTTTTGCAACTGAGCTAATGATTTATTTCAGGGTAATAAGAGACCAACCTCGTCTCTCTCATCCTGCTCTTTACCACTTGGATTAGATATCTCCTCAAATTCAGTGCCATTATCTTGTGTGGCTTCAATGCCAACCATATCCAGTGTCTCGTCTTCAGGTCCACTATCTTCGACAACTTCAACAGCCGCCTGGCTCTGGCGCCATGTGCGCGCTTAGGTCGCCACCTTCTTTTTTGAGGTATGGCGCATCTCTTTGATGATACTATCATCTGACCCGGATGGTGATTCTTCCTCACTACTAGCTGCCTTCTTTCGCTTTCCCACATGCTTTGGGGATGCCTTGGACTTTGGTGGGTGAGACCATGTGTTGTTACTGAGAATGTGACGAAGCCATTGCTGCAGCCTTTTCAGAAGGTTTTTTAGGATGAGAAGATTTACGATACATGATGGTGGTAGGGCTTGGTGGATATAGCAGAGTAGTGGGCTAGGTTGCTTGACTATATACATATCATGTTACCAATGTGTTAATTTACATATTGAAAGGTCGGTTGAAACCGGTTTTAATGGTCTTTGAACTGGTTGCACTCCTGACCGGTCCAAGACTGACTGTGAGACACTTCTGATCAGCGAAGACCGGTTTCTGTTGGTCCGATTTGAGTCTGACCATAGTAACACTAAATTAAGGACCGGTTCGAGTCCGGTTGCATCAAAATTAGGCAAAAAACCGGACTTAACCGGACTTTTAAATTCTAGGTATATGACATTGACAAGAGATCAGACTCAAGTCCGGAGAAGCAGGAATGAGCAGGAACTAAGATGATATTCCAACTGAGGAGGTACTGGAGTTTTACAGGAGTTTATATACTGTAGATATCATGTAAGTAATCAGTCAGCAAAGTAAAAGCTATGCCCTGAAGCATATGGAAAGTCTATTAGTAAGTGTACAACAGATTAAAGAAATGAAGTCAGAAATGAAGTGCAGACAGACAGATCAGTAAGCAGAATGGAATGGTGTACAACCGGTAGCCGGAGAGCAATATTCTAAAAGGAGATAAGTGTGAGTCCAGAGATGAAGGCGGAGTGCCAGGCAGACAACAGGACAGAGAATAGGATGGAGACCCGGACTTTTGTAGGGGAGAATCCGGAATTCCGGGTCTGCAGGTATGGGATATGACAATGGGGCATCCCCTCAGTAAATGGACAACCCAGATCAAAGCTGCAGTGCTTTCCAGAAAGAAGCCACATGAAAAGTGGATCAGGGGCTTTCTTGCCTGGCATTCTGATATCACTCTGGGAAAGCCATCTGCATTGGATCTGAAGTGTTGCCAGAGCTTTAACCACACCACCATTGAGCATCATTTTGAGCTGCTTAAGAAAGTTATTGAGAAGGAGATTCCTTGGGAAATTTTCTATAATATGGATGAGAAAGGGTGCCAAAGAGGGGGTGGCTGGAAGACTTCCACAGAGAAGTATTTTGTGCCTTGTGGTAGATATCTGAAGTACAAACCTCAAAGTGCAAACCTCAAGCTTATCACAGTCATTGAATGTATATCTGCAGATGGTGTGAGCATTGCTCCAGGTTTCATGTTTTCTGGAAAGTCATATCACAAAAGTTGGTTCCAGGCACATCCAAACATCTGGTATGTCTTAGACATGTTTCACCACTTCAAAAAAACATCTTAATTTTATCTCAGTGTTGCGACATCACCAAACGGGTGGACAGATGACTTCCTTCATCTGTATAAAATGGTTTGAAGACTTGTTTATTCTTCAGGCAACAGCAAGAAATAACTCCAGAAAGCCAGTACTCCTTATCTATGATGGTCACAGTTCCCACATCACAAAAGAAATGTGCGAGCTGGCTGTACAACATAATATTGAGTTGTTTTGTCATATCCCATACCTCCAGATCTGGAATTCCGGATCTACTCCATTAAAGTCCGGTTCTCCGTCCTGCTATTCCGCCCGGTGCTCCACCTTCATCTCCGCACTCACCCCTAACTCCTTTTAGATTAGCTATTGCTCCGGTTACCGGTTATGTCCTTTTCTGCTATGCTTACTACTGATCCGTCCATTCTTACTTCATTTCTGACTTCACTGCTTTGATCCGTTACACTTACTAATAGACTTTCCATATGCTTTGTACATAGCCTTTACCTTTGCTGACTGATCTACTTACATGATACCTACAGTATATAAACCCCTGTAATACTCCAGAACTCCTCAGTTCAAATATCATCTTAGTTCTGCTCATTCCTGCAATCTCCAGACTTGAGTCTCATCTCTTGTCCACCTCTGAGTCTTAGGGGTTAAACCTTAGGACTAATTCTCCAGCTCTACCTTAGGGTAGTCTAACCTCTGTTCTATTTCTACTCTGGACTTCCATAGTAGCCTTGCTCCATTCCCACATAGTCTTCTGGAGTTCCAGCCGAACTCCACCGACGTTTGTCCTCTGGAACTCCCCCGGACTTCCTGTCGGACTTCCCCTCTGCCCACCGGAAATTAAGGGCATGTACTCGGGTAAGGGGCACAGCAGCACGAGCAGCTGAAGCCGAAGCCCTTTGAGTAGTCTTTCCCTTGAGCACAACCTTAACATGTTTTGTCTACCACCTCATACAACACACAAGCTGCAGCCTCTTGATGTCAGAGTTTTTGGCCCTCTCCAGTGAGCATGGTATAAGTATTGTGAGGATGTGTTTGATGTAACTGGTTATGAAATTCCCAGACAGAATTTTGTCAATCAATATATGGCAGCTCAGGCCCAGGCATTTACAGAAGAAATGATTACAAAGGCATGGAAGAACAGCGGCATCCATCCACTCGATCCCCACATCTTTACCAACAAGGATTTTGCTCCCAGCATGGCCACATCAACAGAAGCCCATGTCCCACCCTCATTCCCCATCCAACCTAGCCAGCTTTACCTATATCAAGATATCCTGCCATCTTGTGATGATGCAGTCAAGGCCAATAACATTGACTCAATGGATGAGTCCAAGTCCAATAGTGATGTGTCAGGCAGCAAAAGCAATTCAGAAACTTCTAACAGTGGTTCAGAGTCGAGCAAAGAGAGCAAAGAGTCAGAGATGGATGAGGATGTGGTCGATGAAGATCAGCACTCCCATGTCCAAATTACTGTGTCACCACCTTCCAACTCACCCAATCAACCGTCAATGCAGGTCCAGATTGCTGTGCTGGAGGCGAAGGTCAAATCCCTGGAGTCTGAGCTGCATTCCACTAAAGCTCACTGTGCAATGGCACTGAGCGAGGTGGGCTTGATGAAGAAACAACTCAATAAGTGGCAAAAAAGACATGGACACGAAATATCAATGCACTGGTGGTTGACATCTGTGGAGGGACTGCGGCAGTGTGAGGAACAGGATATGGCAAGAGAGGCTAAAGCTGAGAAGAAAGTACAAGTAGTAGCACAGAAAGCATTGAAGCAGGCAAGTAGGCTGGCTCAACAGGCTACACAGGGATCCAACATTTGTTTCACTGGCGCTCTTTCCATCAAGAGCAAAGAAGATCTCATTGACATTGCTAATCAGCTGACAATCAAGACAACAGGTACCAAGGCCGAGTTGTTGAAGGTTATCAGAGAGTACTTTGATGCTCACGCTGATCTCAAGAATGACACATAATTTGAGGGTCTCTTTAATGGCCATTCACGTGGACAGAAGCGGACTGTTAGAGACCATGCTCAGATGGAGAAAGTGGAGGGGTCAGGGCTTGGCTTCAGCTCTTGCGCTGCACCCTTGGCCAAGTACATGCCCCAAATTTGGAGCAGGTCCAACAATGTCCAATGATAGGATGGGCAGACCGCTTTGGTCTGCTTTGTGGGTTGGGAGGTAAATGCTACTAGCGGTGATCCAACTAGAAGCAGAGCAGGGGAAGCGGAGGAAGTGTGTCGGGATGGAGGGGGTAAGGGGATTGGGTTGGGTTGGGTTGGAAAAGTAAGAGCAAATACTTAGAGCGTGGCTCTAAATCAGAGCAGAGGGTCGGAGGTGACAAAAAGGTAAACTTATGTCCGGAGAGAGAGCAAAGTCCTACAGAGAATTCCCACTAGTAGAGACTGTGGGAAGACAAGTAATATTAAGACTGGGGAGTAGCTAAGTACAGGATATGTTTTTATATACTTGTCATATCCCGTACCTCTGGATCCAGAACTCCAGAACCCCTCCACTAAAGTCTGGTTCTCCATCCTGTTATTTTGCCCGGCGCTCCGCTCTCATCTCCGGACTCACCCCTATCTCCTTTTAGAATAGCTATTGCTCCGGCTACCTGTTAGGTACCGTGCTGGCTCAGGAAGCAGAGGGGTCGGGGCTTGGCTTCAGCTCTTGCGCTGTGCCCTTAGCTGAGTACATGCCCTGAATTTGGAGGGGGTCCGATGTTGTCCGACGATAGGACGAGTGGACTGCTTAGGTCCACTTTGAGGTTCAGGAGGTAAGAGCTACTAGCGGTGGGCCAACTAGGAGTGGAGCAGAGAAGGTGGGGAGTGATGCGGAGGGTGGATAGGAGCAGGGGGAATGTTTGGTAGGAGCGGGGAAGGTGGAGGATAATGTGGAGGATGGAAAAGGGTCAGAGGGGAATATTGAAAGGGGCGGAGAAATAAGGGGGAGACTTAGAGCACGACTCTAAGTCAGAGCGGAGGGTCGGAGGGTTGGAGGTGACAACAAGTTGAAACTTGTGCCCAGAGGAGGCAAGGTCCTACTGAGAATTCTCACAAGTAGTAACTGCAAGAAGACAAGTAATATTAAGACTGAGGAAAATATCTAAGTACAGGATATGTTATATACTTCTATGTATGAGGCAGTGATCAGGATAACTATGTTGTAAAGCTATGTACCAAGGATATAATTTGTAAGTACTTACACAGGTGAAGACATAAGTCAGAGCAGATATCAATATGTACGTGTTGGATCAGTGATCAAACAGTAAGAGGAATTACCGGTGATCCGGGAGTAAGGGTCTATGTACCGAAGGGGAAAGGATATATCTAAAAGGGGAAAGCGGTTCCAGTTGAATGGAGGCGTTTATGGAAGGGGACCGGTTGAGCAGTTGAGCGGAAGCATAGGAGTGGAATGCGGACTGTGATTGGACGGAGCAAAGGATGGATGGAGCAGAGGGGGTCGGAAAGCAGGGCAGATATTGATATCAGAGCGGTCAGATCAGGTATATGACACTACCGGTTATGTGCTTTCCACTATGCTTACTGATCTGTCCATTCTTGTTTCATTTCCGACTTCACTGCTTTGATCTGTGTACACTTACTAATAGACTTTCCACATGCTTCATACATAGCCCTTACTTTGCTGACTGATTTACCTACATGATACCTACAGTATATAAACCCCTGTAATACTCCGGAACTCCTCAGTTCAAATATCATCTTAGTTCTGCTCATTCCTGCAATCTCCAGACTTGAGTCTCATCTCTTGTCCACCTCTGAGTCTTAGGGGTTAAACCTTAGGACTAATTCTCCAGCTCTACCTTAGGGTAGTCTAACCTCTGTTCTATTTCTACTCTGGACTTCCATAGTAGCCTTGCTCCATTCCCACATAGTCTTCTGGAGTTCCGCCAAACTCCACCGACATTTGTCCTCTGGAACTCCCCAGACTTCTGTCAGACTTCCCCTCTGCCCCTCAGAAATTAAGGGCACGTACTTGGGTAAGGGGCGCAGTACAAGGACAGAAGTCAGTGGAGTTCGGCGGAACTCCGGAAGACTATGTGGGGACAGAGTAAGGCTACTACGGAAATCCGGAGTAGAAACAGAACAGAGGTTAGACTACCCTAAGGTAGAGCTGGAGAATTAGTCCTAAGGTTTAACCCCTAAGACTCGGAGGTGGACAAAAGGTGTTAAGGTCGTGCTCAAGGGAGAGGTTACTCAAAGGGCTTCGGCTTCAGCTTGTGCACTGCGCCCCTTACCCGAGTACGTGCCCTTTAATTTCCAGGGGACAGAGGGGAAGTCCAACGGAAGTCCGGGGAGTTCCGGAGGACTTAGTGTCGGTGGAGTTCGGCAGAACTCCGGAAGGTTTATACGGGGGACAAAGTAAGGCTACTACGGAAGTCCGGAGTAGAAACTGAACAGAGGTTAGACTACCCTAAGGTAGGGCCGGAGAAGTAGTCCTAAGGTTTAACCCCTAAGACTCGGAGGTGGACAAGAGGTGAGACTCAAGTCCGGAGATTGCAGGAATGAGCAAAACTAAGATAATATTTGAACTGAGGAGTTCCGGAGTATTACAGGGGTTTATATACTGTAGGTATCATGTAGGTAAATCAGTCAGCAAAGGTAAGGGCTATGTATGAAGCATGTGGAAAGTCTATTACTAAGTATAATGGATCAAAGCAGTGAAGTCGGAAATGAAGTAAGAATGGACAGATCAGTAAGCATAGCGGAATAGGACATAACCAGTAACCGGAGCAATAGTTAATCTAAAAGGAGTTAGGGGTGAGTGCAGAGATGAAGGCAGAGCGCCGGGTGGAATAGTAAGACGGAGGAACAGACTTCAATGAAGTAGATCTGGAATTCCGGATCCGGAGGTACAGGATATGACAAGAGGTGAGACTCAAGTCCAGAGATTGCAGGAATGAGCAGAACTAAGATGATATTCAAACTAAGGAGTTCCGGAGTATTACAGGGGTTTATATACTGTAGGTATCATGTAAGTAAATCAGTCAGCAAAGGTAAGGGCTATGTACGAAGCATGTGGAAAGTCTATTACTAAGTGTAATGGATCAAAGCAGTGAAGTCAGAAATGAAGTAAGAATGGACGGATCAGTAAGCATAGCAGAATAGGACATAACCGGTAACCGGAGCAATAGCTAATCTAAAAGGAGTTAGGGGTGAGTGCGGAGATGAAGGCAGAGCGCCGGGTGGAATAGCAAGATGGAGGACCGGACTTTAATGAAGTAGATCTGGAATTCCAGATCTGGAGGTACGGGATATGACAGGTAGTCTAACTGTTAAGGTCGTGCTCAAGGGGAAGGTTACTCAAAGGGCTTCGGCTTCAGCTCGTGCACTGTACCCCTTACCCAAGTACATGCCCTTTAATTTCTGAGAGGCAGAGGGGAAGTCCAACAGAAGTCCAGGAAGTCTGGAGGTCAGACGTAGGGGGAGTTTGGCGAAACTCCGGAAGGATAGGAACAGATAGAGTAAGGCTACTACAGACAAGTCCGGAGTAGAAGCAGAACAGAGTTAGACTACCCTAAGGTAGAGCCGGAAATTTAGTCCTAAAGTTTATGTCATATACCTGATCTGACTGCTCCGATATTAATATCCACTCTGCTTTCCAACCCCCTCTGCTCCATCCATCCTCCGCTCTGTCCAATCACAGTCCACATTCCACTTCTACACTTCTGCTCAACCGCTCAACTGGTCCCCTTCCATAACGCCTCCATTCAACTGGAATTACTTTCCCCTTTTAGATATATACTTTCCCCTTTGGTACATAGACCCTTACTCCCGGATCACTGGTAATTCCTCTTACCGCTCTATCACTGATCCGATGCGTACATACTGATATCCGCTCCGACTTATGTCTTCACCTGTGTAAGTACTTACAAATTATATCCTTGGTACATAGCTTTACAACATAGTTATCCTGATCACTGCCTCATACATAGAAGTATATAACATATCCTGTACTTAGATATTTTCCTCAGTCTTAATATTACTTGTCTTCTTGCAGTTACTACTTGTGAGAATTCTCAGTAGGACCTTGCCTCCTCTGGACACAAGTTTCACCTTGTTGTCACCTCCGACCCTCCGCTCCAACTTAGAGCCATGCTCTAAGTCTTCTCTTTACTTCCCCGCCCCTGTCAAGTATTCCCCCTGCTCCTTTCTGCCCTCTGCATTATCCTCCGTCTTCTCCACTCCACTCCTAGTTGGTCCACTGCTAGTAGCTCTTACCTCCCAACCCTCAAAGTGGACCTAAGTGGTCCACTCATCCTATCGTTGGACCCACTCTAAATTCAGGGCACATACTCAGCTAAGGGCGCAGCACAAGAGCTGAAGCCAAGCCCCGACCCCTCTGCTTCCTGAGTCGGCACGGTACCTAACAGTTTACCCCTAAGACTCAGAGGTGGACAAGAGACTAGACTCAATTCTGGAGAAGCAGGAATGAGCAGAACTAAGATGAGAGTCGGAGGTACAGTCAAAGGAATCAATCCTAAGACTCAGAGATTGACAAGAGACCAAGCTCAAGTCTGGAGATGCAGGAATGAGCAGGAATTTAGGTGATATTTGAACTGAGGAGTTCCAGAGTTTTACAGGAGTTTATATACTGTAGGTATCATGTAAGTAAATCAGTCAGCACAGTAAAAGCTATGTCCGAAGCATATGGAGGGTCTATTAGTAAGTACACAACAGATCAAGGAAATGAGGTCGGAAATGAAGTGCAAACGGACGGATCAGTAAGCAAAGTGGCAAGGTGTACAACTGGTAACTGGAGATCAGTATTCTAAAAGGAGATAGGTGTAAGTCCAGAGATGAAAGTGGAGTGCCAGGTGGATAACAGGACAGAAAACTGGACTTTTATAGGGGAGAATCCGGAATTCCGGATCTGGAGGTATGAGATATAGTGTTGGAGAAAATAGGGGTAGTGTCAGAGGAGCGGAATAGAGTCAGGTGGAGGTAGCAGGG